CTGTATGTTCGATTGTATAGCGATCGCAGACTCGTTTTCCGAGATGTCTACCCTGATCTGCGCTCATCTGCAAGATTGGGAATCATTTCGAGGCCATTGCCGCACTATTTGTCAGGCATAATTTCACAAAGTCCTCTGCAGGTGATCGAGACTATACCGCGAGAGACCGCTGATCTCGATGTCTTGCAGTTGTGCAATTTCTATGAGGCCATGGGAAAAATGATATCAGGTAGAACCAACTCAGGCTAGGTTCTTGAGTACAAGATGGTCGTTAAACGCTCAATTCTTGGCCCACACAACTCCTAAGAAGAGCTGCTGGTCGGTTGTCATACTGCTTTGTACTTCAGCGATTCCTGAGATTCCGAAACAAACTAACTTGGTGAACCAGACTATGGCGGACGTACGGTCGAAATGGCAAGCCGTGATAAAGCGAGCGTCCTTTGGTGATGAACGTATCTTAGCAGAAGACCAGCAGGTTCGATGGCGCAAGTGTCATAATGTATATACTTGCCTCCTCAGGCGATACGCACGATATCTGCGATACTTCGATGTTACGAGCGTATGGCTGTTGGGGTGGGCATCGCCAGCGGAGAGGCGATCAAGGACATCTATAGTGACGTGTTATTGGTAACACCAGTCAAATAGTGGATCTCTCTCTCTCTCGATCGGTTGGCGAACGTTGCATATTGCGTTTAGAATGTTGTTCACCGATCGACATGCATCGATTTTCTCTCTGACCACAGGTATATAAGCTCTACTCTCAATGTGTTGGTGCATCCCGTGGGTCCTCGGCATTATTCTCATGGGAGAACGTGAAACTTATGCGGAAAGTGAGAGAAATCGTCTTTTCCTATGAGCATTGATGTATTTATCCAGGTTAAACGTGATGTGCTGCGGTTGGTGCGGTCCTTCGTTGACTCGGCAGTGGCTGAGCAAGACAGAATGAAAGCTGCTCATATGCAGCTCGCTGGTAAGCTGTGCATTTTCGTCGAACTCCAATAATGTTATTTTACTCTTGAAATCCCGGCCTATCCGTCACCTCTTTCTGATTCAAGTTCCTAGCTTGTTGCTGAGTATTCTGTTGTCAGATGACGTCTGTGTGCTGATTTGCTCTCACTTCATCCCACCTATGCTGCAGCCTGTTCTAGTGGATTACAATTTAGCTCCACCGGAAGGACGAGACCCCGAAGTAAGTCCTGTCTAGGTTATCGCCAGATAATTTCTCTCAAAGGTTCTCAATCTACTCACAACAATGTGTTCTCGTCTATCAAGCTCCGTGGTTGGCATGCTTCCGATGATGTTCGACCAAGTGTTCGAGTCAACTCTAGGGATGATCAAGGACGACTTTACATCGTCAGGATACAATTTCTTAGGATCGGATATATATCGTTCCTCTTGCAGATTCCCCGATCATCGATTGGCGTTCTTTGAGCTACTCAGTGCGGTGAACGAGAAGTGCTTCGAGTCATTATTCCTCTTGCCAAGTCAGGATTTGCGGTTATTCGTCGAATCTATGGTATGCGCACTCGAATAGGAGAGTTTCCGTACGCGTTATTGCGGTAGGTTTTCGGTATTCGACACGAGCATCCGACAATAGCAGATATCGCACTGAAACTCCTGTCAAAGTAAGCGCAACATCATAAGCCTGCGGAGGGTTGATTTGCGGTTTTGTGCATACTCTAGGAAAACGTCTAGAACTCATGATGGTTCCCATTTAGGTTCCTAACACAGGTGGCAGCTAATCCTAACTTAGCACAGTCGTTCTTCTCGGAGTATTACGAGAACCTACTGAAACAGGTACATTTGTTCCTGCTGACCTCCTGGAGACAAAGCGTAGGTACTGCTTGTAATGACCGATCGACACCATAAGTCGGGACTTCGTCAACAAGTTCAAATCCTGGCGATGCTAGTCTCTGTTGCTGCGAATTCTCAGTCTGCGAATATGCCGAACAAAGAACGTAAGTGCATATCAAAGCCTTGAGAATAGTCGCGGAATCGGACATGCTTGTGACGTCTCAGCATTAGTGAAATAACTGTGACACTCGAGGCGTGATATGGTACACAACTGGCAAGCGGCCTCCGGTTCAGATACGATGGAGTTTCTGGTTGGAGTACTTGCCTCTTCCTTCAACACAACTACTCGGGTGAGTCGCGCCATATTTCGGGTTACCGACTCTTCTCCTGTCAGGTGGAGCTGGAAGCTTTCGTACTGTCATTGTTCGCCAAATGTAATGGCCCACCACAGGAATTCAGTCGTTGTGTGAGTCTTGAAAGGATTCACTGCTCCTCCGATATAATAGCACCTCGTGACCCAGGTTCAAGACTTCCTAGTGGGCCTTCGAGAATTCTCTGGAACATCTCCCGAAGAGCTTGACACGTA